GCTATCTGTCTGTCAAGCTAGCTATATGTGTCAAAGCTATCTGTCTGTCGTCAAGCTAGTTATATGTGTCAAAGCTATCTATCTGTCAAAGCTATCTATCTATCTATAAGTCAAAGCTATCTATCTGTCAAAGCCATATTTTGGGGAAGTTTGCTGCCTACGACATCCTGACCAGCTTGCAAACCATGGCTGAGCAAGCTGCCTGATTTGCAGCTGCCACATTTGGTTTTGACCGTTGATGCCATGGACAAGGCGCCAAGCCTGCTGGACCACACCAAATTTCGCTGTCCTGGAGGTGGATGTGAAGGGCGACAGCGACAGCCAGCAAACCCTTCTTAGCCGCGCCCTTGAGCTGAGTGACGAGGAACTGCGTCGCCGTGACGGTGAAACGCCACGCTTGCGCACTCTCCTACTAATCCATCTACTTCAGGGCATTCGGCGGGGCTCAGTGAAGCGCCTTTGAGGAGGATGGCCAAGGCCAAGGCAATTACCAACAAACCGTTGGGTTTGCTCAAAGGCGCTGAGTGACTGTTCTTCTCGAAAGTGATTTGGGCTTGACTTCTCCTGCAATCGTGGCCCCTCGGCCCAGCCAAGCAGCGACAGCTACACAAGTTCCCGAAGCCGGACATATTCCTGTAAGGACTGCCCCCAAGAAGCAGGATGTCATGTGGCGGCCTGCAGCAGGCTGGCCTCTCAACAGCACATGGCCCAACAGCAGCTTCTGCACCACCAATAGATCGCTTATCTCATCGTGGCCCAGCAGTGAAGCGCCCGAAGCATGTCCCAGGAGGCTGTCAGTTGAATGTCAAACAAGTTGGGCCAAACTTGATTGCCGTGAGAATCCATGTGCGGCTGCGGGCATGTCACTGGCAAGTGTTATACGCGCTTGCGCACAGCCAGCAGCTAGGAAGGCAGCTTCGTGGTCCTGTTGTTGCAGTTGCTCAGTCATAGCGGATCTTGATGAGATCTCTCTTCACTCGTCCATTGGCAGCGACCCTGAAGATCTAAGATGAATCTGACTTGGCATTGCCACTTGTTGGTTTAACCCGAGGGTCGCCGCATCGCCAGAACTTGGCATTGCAGCCATTGATGTGGAGATCGCACAACACTTGCTTCATCACGTCATCTAGTACCGAGCGCTTGATCCAGTTGATCACAGTACTGAGGTCATATGCAGTTTTTCCCAGGTCCAAGCCAGAATGACCAACCGCAACGCAAACCCATGGATTTTTTTCAAGCACGTGTTTGACCAATGCTAGGTAGGCTTGAGGACACCGGTCAGCAACCTTCCGGCCCGCAAGCTGACGAAGCTGATGACAAACTGGGGAGGGCTTGCCACATGTTTCAGTGCGAGGCGCGCGGAAAATAAAATGAAATAGTCCAACACTGACAGCAAATCAAATTGAAAAATCACGATCTATTTTGACCTCATGTTGGGGGTTGGTTTGAATAGTCCGAGTTGGAAAAAACGTATTTTATTTCATTTCCTATGAAAATATAGTCGAGGGGAGTCCAACTCATGTTAATTTGAAATGAGTTCAGTCCAACTTTGAAGGGATTTTCAGAGAGGCCAAAATGATTTCGCTTCAAAAAAAGGGGTGGACTAAAATAAAATAAATGACTTATTTTCGGGTCCGACCCACCCCTACTTTATTTTGAGCCCGCTTCGGGGCTCCTGAGCAGATGCGCAGGAACCTTGCAGCCTCTGTCCACCTGTGCTGCAAGAGCAGGAGTCTGACATTTCAAACGCTCAGTTTCATTGCTGAAAGTGAAGACATAACTCAAACCTCAGTTCTAGTCACTGATTGCAACTTGTGGTTGGATGCTTGTGGGTCTGGGCATGTTCCAAAAAACGGAGTCATTCAAACTCTGTATGTGTTTGAAGACTTCCATGTAGATTAACTTCCTTCGCAGACTCCGGCTGGATTGCCTTGAGAGTGCGTTCTTTTCGGGAACCCTAGCGAACAGGCATGGCATGAGAAGCCTGTAGGTGATGCGATTGGCCAAAAGCTGCTGGAACTCAGCGCAAAGGCCGAATGCGTTGACAACTATTTGGGGCATTGCCAAGACTCCTTGCTGAAAAACGCAGATATAGCTAGAAGAACTTTTCTAGCCAGCTCTCCCTGGTTTAGCCAGATCTCCCCCCCAAAATCTGAACGCGAAGAACCTGTCAGCCCAGGGAGATCCGGCTATTATTTTTGTCAGATCCCCCCCCCCTCCCCAAATTCTGGGCCCCAAGATCTAGCGAAAATACGAAGTTTGAGGGGCCCAAAAAATTTCGCAAAGGCTAAGTCTCAGGCTGTCGTCTGGCAGGAAGGTAGAAGGCAAAGGTGGCTGACAACTTGCCAGCTGTCAAACTTGCACAGGCAGCTGCGGTTGGACGCAAGAAGGAGCTGTTCGGCAAAGTCATGATCTGCGTGTCCACTGATCGCTCCTGGCTCCTCAACACGTCGCAGAACACTGTGGCACTGCCAGCTGGCACTGTTGTGCGGCCAGGTACATTCAAACATGTTGCTCAGCTTGCAGAGAGAAAGCTTGGCCCTGCAGATCTGGAGAAACATATCCTCTTCGACATGAAGACTGCCAACACCCACGTGCTCCCCAGTGGCAAGTTGACCATTCTGGGCGAGCTTGTGAGTGCAGTGCACGGCAACGTGCTTCTACTGACATCTGCTACAATGATGGCCCCGGCTTGCCTATGGAAGTTATAGGTGCTATAGTACTTAAGTTCTAAGACGAATAGTGAAATGATAAAACATATCCTCAAATACTAAAGTCAATTGTAAGCATAAGTTGGCCAAGCTATTTATTATTTGTAAGTAACTTACACTTTCGTAAGTTCAAGCAGGGCGAGAAAATGAGTTTTTGGCCGTGCATTACGTGGAGGGCCAAATGGAAAGCACGCAGCGTGAATTTTGGCGCCAACTGCGAACGCGTGCGGAAATCTGCGGCACTATGCGCTCTTCATGCGAGAGCGCGGGCGTGGTGAGCCGCGGCTCTGGGAGCAACAGTGCGCACATGTGCCACATGTGCTGTGTGGTCTGCTTAATGCGCTGCGCGTCCGTCTTGATGCGTGCTTGCGCTGTGTGTAGAGTCACCCCGCTTTACCGTAGCGGCGGCGCAGCCGCGCAACGCAAAAGCAACAAACGCAACTCGCGCGTGTTGCAAGGGATGCGTCGAGGGTGCGTCGGGGTTGTGTCGGGGTTGTGTCGGGGGGTCGCACTCGCGCACGCGCGCGGCTTTGACACCTCCTTCGTTTTGGGTTCTCTGCTTCCCCCAATCAATTCGCACTCGAAACCGCCTCTGCCATTGACACACCATTGAAAAACACAATTTTCGAGAGTGTGTCTGCTATCTGCGTCGAATAATTGAGTTTTCTGCCATATTCTTGCAAAACCCATAAGTTCCAGCTAACTAGTTTCCATGCTTCGCGAGCTAAGAAACTTATAAAACCCTAAGGTACTTATGTTACTTGGCTAAGTGACTGTAGTTCTCGCGAAGGCGGTTGTGGTTTGGGCCATCCATGTTTCCAACAATTGGCGCTGTGTGTGAAGTCGAGTTTTGTATCTGATTTGTGGCTCGCCCTTGCAAAATACCTTCCCTGCACCTTTGCACTACTCCTTAGATGCGAGGTTATGTCAGTATGATTCTTCATGTCATGCCTTTGATGGCTTGTGAGGGCTAGGTTTTGTGAGTTTGGCGCGTATTGGTCATGGCTGCTAAGCTGGCGCAAGAGACGCTTGCATGATTTTTGCCGCGCGCTGGTTGCGATTGCTGATGTCTGCTTGAAGGCTTGGCAGGCTGGATGCATGGACCATCAAGCTTCCAAGCCATAGACTTGAGGGTGAAAAACACCCAGGCTTCAAGTTTCATTCTGCAATCAAACCCGTTGCAAGAAATTTCAACAACATGATGGGCTGACTTCCGAAAAGTTGCAGCTCACCTTCACGGCTCCTTTGGCCACCTCCTGCGAGGTCAGCGTTCGCTCCACTGGAGCTTGCGCAGGCAGAGTGGCAGGCTCCCTGACACTGCTCTGGCACGTGCTCGTTTTTTTGCGCTTTGACGAGGAGCGCCTCCGGCACTCTGCAAGCTGGCTTTGATGCCGGTGGCGCGCGTAGTGAGTGATCCTAGGCAACAGCGGTCGCCCGCACGTCCTTCAGACCGGCCTTGACAACGTCAGCGATTCGGGATGAAGTTCAGCGGCCATCTTGAATTGAGCCTCTCAAATCTTTGGCCGTAGTGGCCAAACGTGTCAACTCCTTCTCGAGTTTTCTTCTTGTAGGACTCGGCTCTTGGTCCTTTTCGCGAAGCGATGCGATGGTCAACAGCGTTGGAGGTCGCCTCAACCTGCTTCTCAAATCGTTCGAACTTGCCCTGACATCAGCGATCTCAGATTTGCATTGCTGGTTGAAGGCCCCGGAGATCAGACCACCTCAAAGTTATCCACAAAGATGAAAGCTCAGGATAGCAGAACTGGTGACCGGGTTGGAGTTGTGGTTGAATTAGAAGTTGATTTGAAGGTGTAAAGAGCAAAAGGATTGAACAGGAAGACTATCAAGCAGTGACCAGCTCAAGCGGACCACGTCGGAAGGCTGGCCCCAAGCCCCAGCAACAACAGGTTCCCGAACCGGTGATGAAGCGACTTGTCGGACTATGGCGCCAGTCCTTTTCCCGCTACCACTTGCAAGGAGGCAGCAACGTGAGCCACAACGTCAATGTGCCACCAGGCGTGAAGGCTAAGTGGTCTACCCCAAAACACAAAAGTGAAGAGTAGGCCAGGCCAAATGCGCTCGGAGTATCTGCTGGAAGTTTTGAGATTGCGAGAATCCGGATTCGGACGCGGGGGGAGCGCGCAACTTGGAGCGGGGGCGGACACATTCCCGTCCATCCATTGCTGCAATTTTGGCAGGCTAGCCAAATCATTGATGGCTTTGTTCTTTCCTGGTGCTGCCGTCGAGTTGCAATGCTATCGAACCTGAAATCGCTCAGCGAGGCGCCGCCTCCACGATCTTTTGCACCGGAGGCTGCAGCTCCTGTCAACTGATTCTGAACTTTGGGAGGATAAGAAACCAAGGCCCCCCCCCACCCCTTTAAGCAAGCTTCTGGGAGCTTTCTCAGAAAGGTTTGGAGAACCTCCATCAAGCAGAAGAAGCTCAAAACAGCTCATGAAGCTGAAAACACTTCATGATGCAAACATGGCTCAAGACAAACCATCAAGCAAACCAGGTGAAAACTTTTCACCCAGAGAAAATAATTGAACACAATTAGTCCAACACACATGACTGGAACAACTGTGTCAAGCGGAAGCAGCTGAACACAATTAATCAAGCAAACGTAGCTGAAAAAGCAATCGAGCGAAAACATGAGTCGGCCGAGGTCATCAAGCCAAACAACTGAGAACATGTCTTCAAGCAAAAACCACTGAAAGCAGTTCATGAAGCGCACATAAGCAAAAAAACTAAACCTATTCATCGAGCCCGACTAAACTGAAAACAAAATCATCAATGAGGCATAGTCGAAACAACTTTATCAAGAGAGAACAGCTCACAAACGTCAACAAGCAACCGTAAGTCAATCAAATTCACCAAGCAAACAACTGAAAGCAAGTCCTGAGGCAGACACAGTTCAATACAAACCATCAAGAGAAGAAACACCTGAACTAATTCGTCAAACAACAACACACCCAGCCGCAAAGCCGGTGCGTGACAGCCAACACAAGCAAACCCCATGGGACGAACCGCGCTCAAGAAGTCAGACAAGCCAGTGCAAATACGTAGAAAGCCGCATGGGAGGCAAGATGTTGGTTGCGTTATGAGCTCAAACAGGCGACCAGCCTTGTTTTTTCTTTCTCGAGCGAAAAACTTTCGTGCCCGATCCATGTTAATCTCACCTCCCCCCCTTTGTAAACGGATCTCCTGGGCCTCAGGCCCCAAAAGGTGACCAGGAGCTTCAAGCCCTTCGCAAATCTACTGTTCCACCTCTCAGCGTTCTGCCCTAGCCGTAAATAAAGCCTCTTTGAGCCGCAGGAAGGGCGAGGTGCCCAGCTGCTTCGAAAAAGCCGTCCGCCACCAAGCGCTGGCCCAGCGCATGCTGCAGCGATACCTCTCCTTGTCCGCCAGCTCGCAAATTTACGGTCGACGATAGCCAAGGCCGCGCTGCTATCGCTGAAGAGCACCAGCGCCCCGCGCAGCTAACCTCCAATTCGCTCTCAAGCGCGATGCTAGGCTGCCGACCTGACAACCAGAATGCCGGACAGCCTGACACAGGCCAGCATGGGCTTCGACTTCAGCACTGACCTCCTCAATCAATACCCTCGCACGACGCGCGAATGTTAGACGCCGACGCATCGACATACACAGAAAAGCGTAGCTGACAACAATTCGTCTGAACACACTTCATCAAGTGAACGCAACTGGTAACAAACCATCAAGCAGCAACTCACCAAGCGAACAGAACTGAACATAGCACATCAAGCGACAATCACTAAAGACAAAACTAAATATGCAGCAGCATTGCCAGCATCGACAACGCTTTGGGAAGCCCCTGTATTTCGCGCATCGCCTGCGTGCCCTGCATCGCCCGCAATTGGGGCCATTCTTCCCCAAGCCATTCCTGACGGCGCGCGCGCGCGCGTACGTGCGCACGTGCGCACGTGCGTGCGTGCGTGCGTGTGTGCGTGTGTGCGTGTGTGCGTGCGAGCGTGCGTGCGCGCGCTCGTGGGGGGCGACGCGCGGGCATGCGGGCGCGGGTGCGCGCGCGCGCAGGGTGGGTGGGGGGTGGGTTGGGTGGGTGGGTGGGTGTGGGTGGGTGGGTGTGGATGGGTGTGTGTGTGTGTTGTTGGGTAGGTGGCTGTGTGGTGGGTGTGTGTGTGCGCGCCATTTTATCCATTCCTCCATCCCATGTATCATTGCATCCCACGGACCCACCCATCCATCCACCCATGCACCCGCCCGCCGCATCCCTTCCATCCATCCATCCATCCCTCCCTCTCTCCCTCTTATCCGCCATCCGTCGCGTCCATCCATCCAGCCCGCACGGCGGACATGCGAGGCCGGCGCGCGGAGCAAGAACATAAGCATCGGATAGTCATCGAACAAACACCAAATAAGGATGTTGCTGCATATATGTGCAGCAACCAAATACAAACATTGGCAAACATAAGCATCGAACAAGCATCAAATAAGCACCAAAACATGCTGTATATATGCAGCAATTTGGCTCCAAATGCAAACATTGGCAAACTAAAGCTTCCAAAAAACATCAAGATTGTGCTGCATATATGCAGCCAGTTGGCTCCAAATACAAACATTGGCAAAAAAGCACCGAATAAGCATCGAATAAGCACCAAAAAGGATTTTGCTGCATATATGCAGTTTGGCTCCAAATGCAAACATTGGCAAACATAAGCATCGAACAAGCATCAAATAAGCACCAAAACATGCTGTATATATGCAGCAATTTGGCTCCAAATGCAAACATTGGCAAACATAAGCTTCCAAAAACATCAAGATTGTGCAGCATATATGCAGCAAGTTGGCTCCACATACAAACATTTGCAAAAATAAGCATCAAATAAGCACCAAATAAAGATTTTGCCGCATATATGAAGCAATTTGGTGGTGACTGCAAATATTGCAAAAATACACCGAATCATCACATAAGCACCAAATAAGGAATTTTCTGCATATAGCCAAATAAGCATCAATTGGCAGCAATTTGCTGTTGAATGCAAACATTTGCCAAAAATTGGCGTCGAATATTCATGAAAAAAGCACCAAATAAGGATTCTGCTGCATGTGTGCAGCAATTTAGTGTTGAATACAAACATTGGCAAATAAGCATCGTATAAGCATCAAATAAGCACCAAATAACGATTTTGCTGCGTATATGCAGCAATTTGGCTTCGAAGAAGAAGCCTCGAATAAGCATCAAATAATGATTTTGCTGCGTTTATGCATTCCTTTGGCCCAAGCTAGAGCTTCGACGACGCTCAAGATAAGCGCGAAATCCGCCGACCCCTTCGCCTAAAGGGGGAGGCGCACGGGAAGGGCGATGGCGATGCTATCGCTGCAGGAAATGCTGCGGGTGCTCAGGCTGTGTAGTGATGCTGATAATCCATGCTCAGGATCCTCGTCATGACTTGTTTTCTCAAGTCTTTTCTATATCTCGTCTATATAGCCGTCCACGTTCATAATCATCGTCATGATTCGTTTTCTGAAGTCTTTTCTATATTTCTACATACTGTTCAAGTGTCCCGTTAGACCCGGCTTGACACGCAAGCGATGTGTAGCGATGGTTAGCTTCATTGCTGCTAGGGATGCTAGAGATGCGTAGTGATGCTTATCCTCCACCTTCATCTTTTTTATATGTTTTCTATATACATTTCAAGTGTCCCGTTAGACCCGGCTTGGCATCGTTCTTCCCAGACTATCGCATAAACAAATTTTTGGATATACATTTGAAGTATCCCGTTAGACCTGGCTAGAACGACACGCCCATGCTGGAGGACGCTTCGTTTTGCCGATCACCATCCTGTGCTACGATGATAGTTATCATGACAGTCATCGGCAGCTTTGGTAGCGCAGAGGGTGCTGTGATGATACTCATCGTGACAGTCGTCATCCTTATCATCGTTATCCGTATGATCAGGATGCTACAATGATAGTTGTCACGACGGTCCTTGGCAGCTTTGGTAATGCAGAGAATGCTGTGATGATGCTTATCATGACACTCGTCAACCTTATCATCATTGTCCGTATGATCATCATGATCTCTGATTCTGCAGCGTTGGTAATGCAGAGAATGCTACGATGATACTTATCCTGACAAGCATTGGCAGCTTTGGTAATGCAGATGCTACGATGATATTGTCATGAGAGTCATCATCCTTATCATCTTCGTGATGATTGTCATCACAGTCATCGCCTTCATCATTGTCACCGTGATTGACTCATCAGCTCTTCCTTCTATACATTTCAAATGTGTTGTTAGGCACCATTGGTAATGCAGAGGATGCTGTGATGATACTTATCATGGCAGTCGTTGATCATCATGATCTCTGCTTCTGCAGCATTGGTAATGCTACGATGATAGTTATCATGACAGTCATCGGCAGCTTTGCTAATGCAGAGGAGATGATACTTATCGTGACAGTCATTGGCCGCTTTGGTCATGCAGAGGGTGCTACGATGATAGTTGTCAAGAGAGTTATCATCCTTATCATCTTCATGATGATTCTCATCAGTCATCGCCTTCATCATCGTCATCGTGATTGTGATTGTCATCATCATCTGTTTCTTCTATACATTTCAAATGTGGCGTTAGGCACCATTGGTAATGCAGAGGATGCTGTGATGATACTTATCGTGACAGTCGTCATTCTTATCATCGTTATCCGTATGATCAGCAATATCTCTGCTTCTGCAGCATTGGTAATGCAGGGGATGCTACGATGTTAGTTATCATGACAGTCATCGGCAGCTTTGGAAATGCAGAGGATGCTGCGATGATAGTTGTCATGACGGCAGAGGACGCTACGACGATAGTTGTCCTGAGAGTTATCATCCTTATCATCTTCATGATGATTGTCATCACAGTCATCGCCTTCATGATCGTCATAGTGATGGTTATCATCAGCTCTTTCTTTTATACGTTTCAACTGTGGCGTTAGGCACCATTGGTAATGCAGAGGGTGTTGTGGTGATACGTATTGTGTCAGTCGTCATCCTTATCATCGTTATCCGTATGATCATCATGACCTCTGCTTCTGCAGCATTGGTAATGCAGGGGATGCTACGATGTCAGTCATCGGCAGCTTTGGTAATGCAGAGGATGCTGCGATGATAGTTGTCATGACGGCAGAGGATGCTACGACGATAGTTGTCCTGAGAGTTATCATCCTTACCATCTTCATGATGACTGTCATCGCCTTCATCATCGTCATCGTGATTGTCATCAGCTCTTTCTTCTATACGTTTCAAATGTGGCCTTAGGCACCATTGGTAATGCAGAGGGTGTTGTGATGGTACTTATC